TCTCTCTCTCTCTCTCTCTCTCTCTCTCTCTCTCTCTCTCTCTCTCTGTCAGTTAAGCCACACCCACCTCTCCTTCACGCATATCACCTGCACACACACCTTGCACTCAGTATTATATTTGCCATGTATATGTGTGTCACTGTTCAGGTTGTTTTTTGTGTTTTTGTGGAGTTTCCAGGCAGCTGGCTGTATTTTTCCCACTTGACAGCGTAACTTGGGGTTCCTGCAGTAGGTGGAGGAACAACATGATGTATTTTTCTAGCACCCATGAAGCGTTTTGATGCACGGCTCCAGACTAACTTTTTATAGTGGGGCACAGTATTTAGTTGCACCCAAAGTTTGGTGCCGCAATAATACATTTTACGTGTTACATTTCTTTTTGGTCATCTCCCATTAGGGATGCTAATTAAAAAAAGAATTGTGACCGATAGCCAACTCTCGTTAATAGTGTCGAAATAAAGTTTTACTGGCGATCGTTATGCTGATCGCATATTCAGTAAAATCAGGATATGCGATTCAAAAGATTTAAAAGATGCAATCAGGAGATTGATATTTATGATTTGTAGTCGCTGATCTCTGATAATAATGCTACATTTTAAACAACCAGTCCGTGTTTGAACTGACAGGAGAGCTGCTTTCAATTCAATTTATTTAGGATAGCACAAAATCACAAATTTGCGTTATCAAGGATGTCTTCTCATGTAATCTCGTCAAATGTAGCGTTGGTGAGAAATTTGAATGTTGTATTGAAGGAGACGTTTTCACAACATTAATAGATATTAGAGATGAATTATGAGCTGTTTACACTAAACTCTAATAATACATCATTAAAACTACTAATGACTATTTGTTTTAATCTGCTATAGCTGCTATAATCAAACAACAAATGGATATGTATCTGCCAGTATGGATCATCAATGATCATCAATTAGTATGTGATCAGGGATCTAAATGTTTAACTGCTGCCAGTTATCGTTCAAAATGTGTTGTTGGTTCACAGTTGAACGGTAAATTATTAAGATCAAATCATTTTTCATAAACAAATAAAGATGCAGATAAATATTTGTTTTGTCAGATAAGGTAATCTCCACCAAAGATGTTGTGTCAAAAGGACCCCTGAAGCAGGGGGCCATTGGGCCCCTCGACTCGTTGCCACAGTGTGGATGTATTTAGATATCTTCAGTGTGTCCAAGGCATTAAAGTTTAACAATTACTTAAAAATAGCCTCTGTCCTCACAGAGAGAGCCTCGTGTCCCTCAGACATGATTCGTAATGTTTTAAACACTCAAGAAATTGACCAAATGAAGGTTAAAAGTTTTTGAATATATAGTTGCTAAATGAGCAGAGCAAGGTAGACATGTTGTGTAACAATGAGTATGACTTTGCCTCAAAGAGAGAGTTTTATTTTTAAAGGTTATAGTCTTGATCCGCCAGATAAAAGCTACAAAGTATAAAGATTAATGAGTTGTTGAAGCTGCTATTGCATTGAAATGTTCAGACAGTTTTTATTTGTTCATGCTGGCAAGATATATATATATATTAAAAAAACAGACTCCAGTGGACTTAGCACTGTTGTTGGAGCTAAAAGGCGTGACACTGGCTCTGGTGTGTGTGTGTGTGTGTGTGTGTGTGTGTGTGTGTGTGTGTGTGTG